GATAATTTAAAAAATGAAAATTCAGTATAATATGAAACTATATATATATATATATATATATATATATATATATATATATATATATAATGTTTATTTATTTATACATACATATATATATATGCATGAAAAAGACAATTGCTGCCTTCGTGGCAAACTTCGCACACACACACACACATTATATATATATATAATTATTTATTTAAAGATATGATTCCAACGCTACATGAGTCGAAAAAATCAATATAATTATTTGAATTAAATTGAATTAAAGTACCAAGCTATCTGTTCCATCTTTTAAAACTCAATTTTAAAACTCTTGTTTTGAAACATGAGAACTCTTATGTAGGTGTTGAATCATATTTTTAAATAAATACCATTATATTTATGCTCTACTTTTGTATCGAGCACTATTTTTTTTTTAAAATAACAAAAATACTAAAGAACCTTGGATTATTTACCTAACGAGTTCTTTCCTATTTTCTATATATTTTTACACACACACACACACACACACACACACACACACACATATATATATATATATATATATATATATATATATATTTATATATTTTAAGTATAATTTAAAGAAAAATAAAGTCACAAAGTTACATATTCAATTGGATGGAATAAAAAAGTAATCATTTTTTGAAAATCAGGCAAATGTCTGGTGATCAAAAGGGAAACAGGGTCAGAATTACATCCATCCATAAATTGAATATATATATATATATATATATATATATATATTACATATACATAAATACGAGAGAGAGAAGAGAGAAAAATCTTTTTCCAAAATCTAACAAAAGTTAACGGTTTTTGTCGACATCATCAGATTTATGGGTTGAATAATTAGCTAAAAACAAGCATACAATATAATAACTTTGATTAATCCATAGCCCAATCATCAGATTCATGGTTTGAATAATTAGCTAAAAACAAGCATACAATATAACTTTCATAATCCATAGCCCAAATAAATAGTTTAAATACCCTACAAAAAAGATAACCCTTTATGAAGTCGTCAAAAACAAACGTTACGGCAGTTTTTTTTTTTATGCACAAATCCCTTTCATAAAAAAAAAAAAAAAAAAAAAATAAATAAATCTCCATAGACATATAAACCAGACTAGGGTTAATACATCTTCCGTTTCAAATTTAGACACCCCCACCTTTCCCTGACTTGACATCCATGAAAGTAACTCTATACTGATACTTATTATTAACACCCAACACACGCCTACCCAATTTAAACAATTCGCCCTAGCTGTTACCATGGAAATTTTGATTTCAATTATTAAAACACGTAAATTTCAGAAATACGTTATTCCAAAAAAAATTTCGCTTGAAGATGGAACAGAGCTTACTTTAACTCAATTTAATTCAAATAATTATATTGAAGTTTTCGGCTCTTGTTTTGAAACATGAGACCTCTTATGTCGCGAGTTGGAATCATATTTTAAAAAAATAATTATATATATATATATATATATATATATATATATATATATATATATATATATATATATATATATATATAAAAACATTTGTGTGTGTAATGCTGAAAAAGCATTCAGTATACAATAGTCAATACACGTCTCGTCACCATATATAATATATTTTGTTATAAAAAAACAAAAATTTTGTTTATCATATGTCGGCTAGTATGCCGTAATTACGTGTCCAATTGTGCATGTTTTATGCTTTTTGACCGTGTTTTTTTATGATATATGAAACAAAAAACCAACTTCGACAAATTTATTTTCCCTAGCTTCCGGCCGTCTAATCCATATTTATTTTTAAAAAATATATAAAGAATATTATTCATTTGAAATTTATTTTCCACAGACCTTATATTTTGTCACATTTTCTCTCCCAAAAAAATTTCAACTAAATATATATTATTTCCATGTGTGTCTGTCACCCTAATTTTTTATGTATATATAAGAGCAGTCGATCATATCTTGTGATGTTGCGTTTGCTTATAATTAAAAAAAATAATTATCAATTATATATGTTTTATATGAGATATTTTTTCCTGTTGAATATATATTCAGTGGCCCTTTATCCATTATTACGCTAAAAGGCCAAAAAACTGTCATATTATGATATTTAACGGATATAGACGAGGGGACAATGAAAATGAAGTTTCTATTTTGTCAATTCCTAAAAATCCTTGTAAATGAGCAAACATCTGATTTTTTTTCTGCAAAAATTACTATTTAAAAAACAATTTTCCTCCTTCGGCACAAATCTTTTTATTTAGTACGGCAGCTGGTTCAAATAGTATTCTTGCATTAAAAATTTTATTTAGTTTCAGTTTGTTAAACTTTTTTCTCTCATTTCTCTCTCTCTCTCTTCTATTTATATTATATATATATATATATATATATATATATATATATATATATATATATATATATATATATATAAATTTTTTTATTTAAAAAAATAAAATTCCAACTTTCAAATTTTATAAGAGGTCTCATGTTTCAAAACAAGAGCCGAAAACTTCAATATAATTATTTGAATTAAAAATTGAGTTTAAAGATGAGCTCTGTTCCATCTTCAAGCGAAATTTTATTTTTGGAATAACGTATTTCTTTTTTACGTGTTTTAATAATTGAAATCAAAAATCAGGCGTGTGTTGGGTGTTAATAATAAGTATCAATTATAGAGTTAATTTCATAGGTGCCAAGTCAAGGAAAAAAAATTTTTGTCTAAATTTGAAACGGAAGATGTATTCACCCTAAGGTTAATGCATTGAAATATTATATATATATATATATATATATATATATATATATATATAATTATTTTAATTTAAAAAATATAATTAAATATTTGAAATATAAATTCAAAATAAACGTTGACCTTTTTCATGTTTCAAAACAAGCCGAAAACTTCAATTTTTTTATAAAAAACAGAGAAATTATTATGTATAAATTGAATCATATTTTAAATAAATAATTATATTTATGCTATCTATATTTTTATATTGAGCAATATTTTTTTAAAAATAATAAAAAATTAAAAGAACTTTGGATTATTTACCTAACGAGTTCTTTCTGCATTTTTTATATATTTTATTCACGCACACGCTTGCATTTTAGACACACAAACACATTTTACGCACATATATATTATAACATATATATATATATATATATATATATATATATATATATATATATATATATATATATATATATATATATATATATATATATATATATATATATATATATATATATAAATATATATTAATTAATATATTTTCTAAATTGCAAAACCATTGATACTATTCTTAAAAGTGATATTTTATACAGAAATTTCAAAAAAATATAATTATTTATTTTTATAAAAAAATAAATTAAATATTTTATAAAATTTTCAAACAAAATAGCCATTTTGTTTTTAATATTTCTTCCTTTTGTTATTCAATTTTGAATTTTTTAGTATAATTTAATTTTAATTACTTAGAATGAAATTTATTTTATCATTTGAATAAACATTAAATATATTAAATAATTATTATAACCAAAGTTCGTTGTCAAATTTTTGGGATTCTGATATACTTGTATTTTTGATTGGTCATTATTATTATAAACAGCGTTTCCATAAACCTAGAAATATTGATTGATTTGAACCTTTTAATTTTCCTTTTCTTTACATTCAAAATTTCATTTGATAAGACACCAGACGTTTTTTTAAAATGGATATTTTTTAAGAAAATTTTATAACGTATTTAAGTTTTTATATATAAACGATTTTATATATATATATATATAGATAGATAAATAGATAGATAGATAGATAGAGAGAAAATTTAGAGAGAGAGAGAGAGAGAGATGGGGATGGAATGGAACTGATAAAAAAATGTCGTAAAGATTTTAAAAAAGTTTTCAAAATATTCTTCTGACATTTCATTTTAATGATATATTTACTCTGATACACAAAAATATATCTTGAAATAGTAAAGAGTAAATTTATTCAGTAAAATCGCCATTTATTTTTTTTATTAGCTTCAAGATGATTTCGAAATCTCCTTTAAAATTCTTCTAAACGTCTCCTTTTTGCTTAATTTGATGAATTCCTAAAATAACCCTTGCAATTCAGTTTATGATCATTTTAAAAAATTTTTTTTGTAAAAATCATTTCGCAAAGCAAAGAAAGAAATTTTTTCAAGAAAGAAAGAAAAGAAAGAAAAGAAAGAAAGAAAAATGAAAAAAAAAAAAAAAGGAAGAAAAATTTTCCTTTAAAACATTTATATTTCAAACATAAAAGAAAAGAAAAAAAAAAAAAAGAGGATTAAAACATAAACAAAGAAGGAAAATTATTTTTTCTAAAAAGAAAAAAAAAAAAGAAAGAAAAAAAAAAGAAAAAAAAGGGAATAATATTTTTGCTAAGAAAGGGAAGACGAAAGGTCGCAAAAAGGAAAAAAATTTGAAATTCTTTGAAGGAAGAAAAAAAAAAAAAAGAAAGAAAGAAAAAAAAAAGAAAAAAATTTTCTAGGAAGCATATAAAATGCTAAGAAAGGGAAGACGACTGAAAAAAAGCAAAAAAAAACAAATAACGAAGACGAAGGGAGAAAAAAGAAAGAATAAACAAAAGAAAGAAAAAAATAAAGAAAGAAAGGGAATAAAAATGTTGCTAAGAAGGGAAGTTTTAAAGGTCGAAAAGGAAAAAAAAAAAAAAAAATTCTACGAAGGGAGGGAAAAGAAAAGAAAGAAAAGAAGAAAGAAAGAAAGAAAGAAAGAAAGAAAGAAAAGCATATAAAATGCTAAATTTTAAAGTCGAAAGGTCGCAAAAGGAAGAAACAAATAAAAAAGACGAAGGGAGGGAAAGATCTTTTTCCAAAAAAAGAAAGAAAGAAAGAAAAAGATTTTTTTAAAGAAAAAAAGATATATAAAATGCTTCATTTGGAAGACGAAAGGTTTAAAAGGAAAAAACAAATAAAGAAGACGATTGGAAAGAAAATAAATTGAAAAAAGAAATTAATTTAAAAAAGAAAAGAAAGAAAGAAAGAAAGAAAGGGAAAATTTTAAAATGCTAAGAAGGAAGTTCGAAAGGTCCAAAAGAAAGAAAAAAAAAGAAGGAAGGACAGAAGGAAAGAAATTTAAAAAAAGAAAGACAGAAGAAAAGAAAGAAGGATAATGGAAGAATAAAAATGAGTAAAAGAGCACTGAGAAAAAAATTTTTTCAAAGAAAAAAAAAAAAAAAAAAAAAAGAAAGAAGGAAACAAAGAAACAAAGAAAGGAACTTAAAGAAAGAAAAAGAAAAAAATTAAAGAGAAAAAAAAAGGAAAAAATATTCTTAAAAGAGCAAAGATAAAAAGATAAAAAATTTTTTCAAGAAAGAAAGAAAGAAATAAAGAAAAAAAATAAAGATTTTAGGAAAATTTCAGAAATTTTTAAAAAAAATAGGCCTTTTATTGAGTAAAAGATACCGAAAATTAAAAAAAAAAAAAAAAGAAATAATAAAAATAAGAAAGGGATAGGAAAGGAAAAAAATAAATTAAAACAACAAAAGAAAGAAAGAAAGAAAAGAAATTCAAAAGAAAGAAAAAATAAAGAAAGAAAGAAAAAAAAGGAAGAAAAATACAGAAGAAAAAAAAGAAGGATAATGGAAAAATAAAAATTTGGATAAAAAACAAAAAAATAAAAAAAGAAAAAAAAATAAGGAAAGAAAAAAAAAAGAAACAAGAAAAAAAATTAAATAAAAAGAAAAAATAATTTTTAATTTATTTTCTGAGGAAAGGAAAAAAAATATTAAAACAGCAAAGAAAATGAAAGAAGGAAGGAAAGAAACAAAAATTTTTTTTGAATAAAAAATTAAAAAAAAAAAAAATAAGAATAAGAAAGAGCGAAATTTAAAAAGGCATTTTAAATAAAGAAAGAAAGAAAAGAGAAGGAAATAAAAAGGAAAAATAAGAAAGAAATTCAACTCAGAAAAGGAAGAAAGACAGAAGAAAAGAAAGAATGGAAGAATAAAAATGTGTAAAAGACCACCGAAAGAAAAGAAAAGAAAAGAAAAAAAGAAAGAAAAAAAGAAAGAAGAAATGGAAAGAAAGAAAGAAAGAAAGAAGCAATGGAAAGAATGGTGCTTAATCTTGAGCTTAAACAAATCGTAAAAGCCAAAAGGAAGGGGAATGAATTTTAGGCAATAAATAAATGAAAGAGAAAAAAAAAAAGTGAATTGAATTTTTTTAATAAAATAATTGAAAAAGAAAGAATAAATCTGCTATAAAAATACGCTGATATTTTTTATAGCAAAAGAAACATTCGAGTATCAATCGACAGAACGCCAAATATAAAATAACGCGTTTATTTGTTCACTTCACAATTCGATTGGTCCGCTAATCTTTATATAAAATACCCAATGAAATAGAAAACGACACAATTAAAACCTGTAAAAAATTATTCTCGCGAACGCCATTCGTAATCCCTCTCTTCCGGTCTTCTCATTGGTCTCTTAATTAACGAAAGATCCAATGAAAACCTTCGTAGAAAATAAAGCGGAGGTAAATTTGCATATATATTGAATTCCCTTATGGTAAAAATCGGAGATAAAAGCAGATCAATGAATTCAATTATTGGCGTGATTTTCACAGGACACTCATTCGATTCATGTCTAGTGATTTATTTACGGAAAGATGAGAGAAATGGCTAATCTGTATGCTTTGTTAATCGATTGAAAACATTTTAAACAAACATAATATATATATATATATATATATATATATATATATATATATATATATATATATAATTACGATATTTTTGGTTACTAAAAGATCTCAACAAACTTGCCAGAACAGAAGCCCCTCAAAGAGAATAAATAATGACTGAAAATTCTTTAAAGGTTTTACATTCACCGGCTGAGAACTTTCAGCGATTCCTCACACACACACACACACATAAACACACACACACACACACACACACACACACACACATAAGATATATATATATATATATTTTTTTGATGTGAGTTTAACAACCTGGTTTCAGCCCTTTGCGATCGTCAACAAACTCTGATTTTTCTGACGATCGCAAATTCATTTATACTCCTACACAAAATTTAAAACTCACAAACGCTACTAAATTTGTTAATCTGACGCTTTTATTAAGAACTTTGCAGTAATATCACGAATATATAATATATAAATAATATATATATAAATAAACTATATATATATATATATATATATATATATATATATATATATATATATATATATGCACGTTTCATTAAATAATATAGACAAGTGTTGTCTATTTATTTTATGTAATTTTTTTTCGTAACGTCTGATAAGTTTAATAACATTATCGTTGAACGAAGAAAGAAATTCACAATATTGATCCATATTTTTTTAATACAATCTAAGCTTTCGGCTTACATAAGCCATTATCAAAGATGTCAATTACAACATATTCAGCAATATACGGACAAGAGATGTGATGATAGTCTGTCATTGTTTACATATATGATTTCTAAGCAACGATAAACACGTGGATATAAGACGCTAGAAGCGAAAATCGCACCGCATCTCATGACGTCACATACGACCACACGAGAGTGAATTGGAGAAGTATGAAGTATGGGATGCCGTTGGTATAAACCAATGGCTTCTGTTACCAATTATAGACATTTAAGAATATTTGTAGAGATGCTATAATTGATTTGGATATTTTTCACAGTTCCATCGGCTTCAAACTTATTTCTAATTCCAGTGGTAAGTCGCGTTGGTGGATCTGTTTGAAACGCCCCCCCCCACCTAAATGGCTTTTGGTCTTCAACTGAATTTTCAGACTTCCACTGGCATTTTAGAATGAATTCCCTTTGTTCAAAGCTTGGTTCGACTGTCACCATTAATTCTAATGAGTTTAACCTGGAAAGAAAACATCAATTAATCTATCAGCTGTTAAAGTGTCTAAACATTATTTGGTGGGGGGGTTATATATGTATATTTGTATTTATATATTTGTATATACAGACTAGCAGCATGGCCCGGCGTTGCCCGTGCTTGATTCAAAAATCGTACGACTCATACAGCAATCGCTATCATTTGACTTAAAATATTTTTGCCCTTCCTTGCCTTTAAAGGCGTGCCCTTTGCCGTGCTGATGTTGCTACATGCCTTACTTTTGCCTATCTCACACTGCGAATTTTTTCTAAGCTCTAAACTAAACATTAAATCTGTTACGAAAAAAGAACTAAACAAAATGAACGCAAAACGATCAGCTTTAAAAAAAGGACTCGTAACTGGAAAAACCGAATGAAAAAAGAATGTTAACAACAAATACTTTTTCATACCCAACCCAGTTCTGCGGAATCAGAATCAACGTTGGGTTTAAGCAAGCGAATGAGCCAATTGGATTAAAGTGCCATGCAGATTTAAATTTTTCCCACTTGTGACGAATGCAGCTATCGATTTATTTTGCATGCTAGCATGCTAGTTAACATTCATGTCAGTCAGCTGTTGGCTCTCACTCTGGCCAGTAGAAAATGGCTGCAGACTATATGAAAATTAATGTAGAAGCATGAAAATATCGATTATTTCCACTATCGATGGGAGTTGGGAAATGCAAAGCCGGTCTTGGTCTTTTCGCTAACTTGGAGCATGTGCATGTAAATTTTGGTGCAAATCCGCCGAAAATTGCGGCAGACCAAACATGCGACAGCTCGATGTAACCAGATTTGCCAGTCCTCGCCAGTCTCAGTCTACTTTGAGCCGCGAGGGAGGTGCTTCTGACCAAGTGTGCGGGCTTCTCCGTCCGTCGCGCAGAGTTATGCACCCAAATCAAATTCTCGCGAATTGGCCTCGTCAAACTCTTCTTCATTCACAGCAATCTTCGCCATGCCTGGACGTTCTTCTTGTTGTAACGGAATTCGCCCGAGGTGGGTTGAGCTGGCTCCAATATTAGAGTTTCATGGGAATTTTGAATTCACAAGCGGTCCCCAACCCGCATGTATAGCACATGAGATTTGATTATAGTGGTGAGGGTTTCATACATGACCATCCACAGTTTTTGAAGGGCCGAATACAGAGACCTGGTGTACTACGTGTCACAAAGTCCCCAAACGACCCTCCACAGGTTTTGAATTCAGTGTTTTCCTTCTCCTAGACCAGTTGCCATCCAAGGCTATAGAACCCAGTCTGTCCTGCTATTTTACCCATAGCTGGAGGGAGAAGAAGAGGATTCGTACCTTTCCCAAGGGTATTAGCACGTAAGTAAATGTAATGGATTCAACTGGAATTCGAACACGGCTCCAAGCCAGTATCCATCACTCCACCGTGCCTCCTAATGCTCGGATGCGACAACGACAAGATAGATGCGACCGTACGTTCTGTTTAAATATTTCTTTCGCCTGTGGAACCCCGCTTCGGAGTTTCTACTTCCCTGCCATCTACAATTTTCGTAAATTTAAATGCAACGTAACTCACAATCTTTTGTCTTCCTCAACCCTATTCTTTTATTGTCATTTTATCCTCACTAAAGTTTTGTCGTTCTCTATTACTCCCAGTAACCGCTTGCGTCTTAATGACATTATCGCCTTGCTTGGGGCGAAATGATTAAAAAAAAAATAGATAAAATATCCGAATTTTGGAGAGAAATGTCAGGGAGATTACGTACCCAAGTAATACATCTATGCCGGCTGCCCACCCGATGACGAGGTTAACCATTTCTACAACCTTACACATTTGCTACCGATACCCGCTCATAGGCTTTGAAATGAGGGACACCTGAAAATGAGGGGAACCTCGGCGTGGAGTAATGGTTCGAAAGCTTATCTCGCTGGAACAATTACGGCCGGATTTTGAGATCGATCCTCACTGGGTGCCCCATGCTTTCGACTTTGTACCATATCTAAACTACGCTTGGAAAATCGACATAGGCTGTGAAAAGACAATTAAAAGCGGGAAATCTTTTAATGGCTCTATTACACTGTTGGCAAACAAATTTATTTAGGGTCATTTGTTCATTCTTTGTGTTTATGATTAATGTTATGTGTCTTCCCGTGCCCGGTACGTGTAGTCTTGTTCTTACAATGTTTATGACACAACGTGCAAATCCAGTCCCGCAGCTTTTTAAGGTAGGCGTTCGTATTCAATCTCGTGTTACTGCGCATGCCTGCTCACATGATTTTTCAGGCCAGCTTGTGATGAGCAGACGCGGCCACATTCTTGACAAAAGCATTGAGTCACAACCGAGTCAACAGAAACTCGCCATATTGCTGCAATGTTTCACTTTGGCTCGACTGATGCATATTTAATAATGGAAGAAAGCACCAGATTGTAGAGTATTTATTATTACTCTTTATTTATTTTTGCATCAATCATCTCTCTCTCTCTCTCTCTCTCTCTCTCTCTCTCTCTCTCTCTATATATATATATATATATATATATATATATATATATTCAACAGCATCACTTGAGAAGACACCAGAAGTCTTGAAACAAATTGGCTATTTTTGTAGTGATTTTATATCATTTTTATGTTAGAATTTTCGTATAAATGATTATATATATATATATATATATATATATATATATATATATATATATATTCATATGTATATAACTCAGTCTGTTCATATCTATCTATCTCAATCTTTTCATATCTATCTAGCTATCTATCGATGTCAGCCTGTTCCTGTATATATATATATATATATATATATATATATATATATATATATTTCAGTATTTTCTTAACTATCTATCTCAGTTTTTTCATTCATTCATATATCTATCTATCTATCTATATATCTATCTATCTATCTATCTATCTATCTACACACACACACACACACATATATATATATTCATATGTATCTATCCTAGTCTGTTCATATCTATCTATCTCTTGTATTTGTCATACAATTTAACCAGTATATATATATATATATATATATATATATATATATATATATATATATATATATATATATATGCAACATTGACAAATAACAATAAATTGTCAGCCATGTAATTTATCTTCGTTTTCAGAATTTTATGATTGGTTAAAATTTTTCAGGATGTATATCACCATTATATATATATATATATATATATATGTATATATACACATATACATACATGCATATATATATATATATATATATAGATATATATATGTATAATACGCGATATTCATCGTGCAAAAAACTATATATATATATATATATATATATATATACCGAAATCAAATTCTTCCTGTCTTTTTTGACTCTCTTGTCCTTCTGTTTGTCTGTATTTCATCATACATCATACAATTTTTTTTTCCTTTTTTTTTTTTATCCAATGGATTCTTCTGATGTAAGCTGAACCGATAACGTTACGTGCCTGCGTCACCAATGCTTTACGAATGCCTCGGGAGGAGCGTGCCTGTCACGTGATTTCGAAACCGGAGAAGAACACAGCTTTGCCTTTCTTCATTCCAAACTACCCCCCCCACCTCCCGCTCGTCGGCCGCGAAAACGCCATTTCAAAAATGACGTTTGCCGGCAAATTGTGTTTATGGCCCGCGTCTCTAACGGCAGGGCTGGACCGTTTCTCGGGAATCCTTGCTAGGAATTTCGTTTATTTCTTCATAGTTTCTTTTTTTTTTTTTTTTTTTTTTTTTTTTTTTTTTTTCACTCCAGATATTGTAAAAATGCTTAGCAACCGATAAAGTTGCCCGTGAATTCTCCCCAATAAAAATGAGTCTGACTTTTAATGCGTTCATTTCTGGAACTATGTTTTTTTTTTTATCCCATAATTCAGTAATCGACAATTCTATCTATCTATCTATCTATCTATCTATCTATCTATCTATCTATCTATCTATCTATCTATTTCATTCTGTTCATTATCTATCTATTTCATAATGTTCACTATCTATATAGCTATCTAGCTAGCTAGGTATATAGCGCCCAATAGAAGAATAAATCATACAGTAATACAAAGGACATGTACTGGATTCAGTTTATTCACTTTCATTGACGCTGTCACACACCGAGAAGGTCTGTATGAACGCCATCATTTTCGTATCAGCCATCTGAAATAGAAAATTATACAATGTAGGGGTGACAAGACTTTCAGACCAAACTCACTCATATCTATCTATCTATCTGGTGCTCCGAAAGTCTTGTCATCCCATACCGAAGAAGTAATGAGACCAATAGAAGAATAAGTCATACAGTAATACAAAGCCCATGTACTGGATTCAGTTTATTCACTTTCATTGACGCTGTAACTTTCAACTCGTGGCGAATTCCGCTTTGGCGAATTTCGCCCAATTTTGACAAATAAGGATCGTTTCTCGGCCTTTGGCTGAGATTCGATCACGGCTACGACTAGTTCGGAGTGGCTTCGGCCCGGACTTGCTAAGACAAGCCATGACCAGCTTTGACTAAGCTCTGACCAGCTTGGACATGCTATGACCAGTTTTGGACCAGTGGCCCTTAGAGTGGAAACGCTCGGGTCTCCCACGTTAAACGACCTTGCGTCACATCCTGACCCCGTGGGAGACAAGTAAATACCACTTTCATTAATGCTGTCACACATCGAAAAGGTCTGTGTGAACGCCATCATTTTCATGTCGGCCATCTGAAATAGAAAAATTAGATTACGTAGGGGTGACAAGACTTTCGGACCAAACTCACTCCTATCTATCTATCTATCTATCTATCTATCTATCTATCTATCTCCCAGTCCATTCTTCATCTATTTATCTATATTTCAGTCTATTCATATTTAGCTATCTAAATGGTGCTCCGAAAGTCTTGAGTCCTGCTACCAAAAAGTAATTAGACCAACAGAAGAACAAGTCATACAATAATACAAAGGACGTGTACTGGATTCAGTTTATTCACTTTCATTGACGCTGTCGCACATCGACAAGGACTATATGAACACAATTATTTTCTTGGCACAAAATGGTCCCATTTCCTGTGTGATATTTTAAGAATCTGCGATTTGCTAATTGCTGCAAAGGTTCTCCGAACGACCTCCTTCAATTGATGGGTATTCTGGTATTGTTCATGTGAAACTCTTTCCTTTATAATACCCGAGAGAGCATTGGAATAAAAAATTATAAAATGTATGGGTGTGACAAGACTTTCAGACCGCCCTGTAGATTAAGATACAAGAAAAGTCTTTATTCATTTAGATATAGTTATTAAACTTCGACATGACTGAAACCCCAGAATTCCTCTTCGTCATTATCATCATAATCATCATAATCCCTGTCAGACATTCTTTCCGTTAGTTCGTTCAGTTTATCATCAGTTATGGTATGTTCATCCCCATCCTCATTCTTTGTCTTTTTCGGTGCTTCAAACCAACCAAATCTCTCAGACATCACATCGTCTTCAGTGCCATCCATAGTATTGGAGATGACACATTTTTTGAAGGACATGATAATTAGTTCCTCAGAGAGATAACGTCCCAGAGTTCCTTCACCCACTTCTTCTACTAAGCTCAATCCGGGTGTTTTTAAGGACTGGTCTTTAGTAAATTGCTTTTCACCAGATATCATCTAAGATGTTGACAATTTTTTCGAATGTAAGTCTTGTAAGGCTTTATCGATACATCTAGTGGCTACAAATCTGAGGTGCGACCATCAGGAATGAGTCCTTGACTTGTTTGCGATTCCTTCAACATATCGAGTGCGGGGCTGCTCTGTTCAGACGAATATATGGAATACAGGTAATCGCTTCAGTCTTAAAATCACTTGAAAAATGATAGTCTTTCGTCGTCAGATAATAAATGGTAAATCGTGCAGATCGAGCGCTTTTATTCGATATGTGACGCGGTACTGTTGGAAGAGGCGATTGCCTAAAGTCGAAGTGTCGGAAAAAAATTGATTTTCTCCCTTGCTCTCGCTTATGCTCGAACCCAGGGTACTCGCCTGGACTACTCATACTCCAAAGTCTACATCAGATTCACTATAATGTCGGGTGGATACCGCTTATTTTTATCGAAATTTGGATAAAAATAAGTGTTATAGAGTAGTTTTCACAGTGGAGGCTTGTATTTCAATAAGTCGTCCTAAATTAGGTTCGACGTACAAAACGTTATGAACTTGAAATAAGAGTTAATGACGCAGCAATCTAGTTGTGTTCAATGTCCGACATCGACTGACTCGCTCAACACCACTGAGCGCCCCCCACACCTGGCCACTGCTATTACTACTTATTATATATGGGAGAGTCTATTACAATAGAATAGGTATTATGGTATATCAATAAGTGAGGCCTATACTCAAGAATATCCAATAAGTAAAGAATTTAAAGGCGTAATTTTCCATGGCGAACCAATATTTCTGTTTAGTGTTTATTTTTATATTTTATTTTCAACATCACAATACTTAAGTTCTATCTACAGATGTGCGACTTGGACACTCTCGGATGAAGCAGGAAAAAGGATCCAAGCGTTCGAGAACAAATGCTTGAGAAACTTCCTCCTGAGAGCGCAAAAGCAATGACTTATGTATGGGGCAAGGTCAATAATCTCGTGGGCCTACAGGAACCTCTTCTCGCCACTATTAAGCGTCAGGAGATGGCGCGGTTTGGCCACGTCACACGGCATAACAGCCTCTTCAAGGACATCATGCCAGGCCATCATGCAAAGCGGGGAATGGAAGATGGTATGATTTGGCCTCGTCCCACGGCATAACAGCCTTTGCCAGGCATGTTGAAGGCGGACGCAAGTGGGGACGGCAACGCAAAAGCTGGTCAGATAACGTGAAACAGTAGACGGACATGACTAAGCGGGGACTCCTGATTGAGAGCCACCGCCAACAGATCATTCTTGAGAAATCTCCTAAAAAGTCAATAGTCTTGTCGGCCGACAGGAACCTCTTCTCGCCACTATTAAGCGTCGGAAGATTGCGCGGTTTGACCACGTCACACGGCATAAAAACCTCTGAAAGACCGTCATGCAAAGCACTGTTAAAGGCGTACGCGAGCGAGGACGGAAGTTGGTATGATTTGGCCACGTCACATGGCATATCAACCTCTGGAAGACCCTCATGCAAAGTACTGTTAAAGGCGTACGCGAGCGAGGACGGAAGATGGTATGATTTGGCCACGTCCTAAGGCATAACAGCCTGTGCAAGGCCATCATGCAGGGCACCATTTGAAGGTGTACACAATCGGTGACGGAAGATGGTATGGTTTGGCCACGTCCCACTGCATACCAGCCTTTGCAAGGCACTGTTGAAGGCGCACACAACTGGGGACGGAAGATGTTATGATTTGGCCATGTCTCACGGTATAACAGCCTTTGCAAGGCTGTCATGCAAGGTACCGATGAAGGCGAACGCAAATGGAGGCGGCAACGCGAAAGCTGGTCAAACGTCATCAAAGAGTTGACGGACATCACAATTACTTACCTAGTGCGGGGCTCCTGTGTTTAGGATGTCTACCAACCGTCCCACGTGGTCAGATGTGGCACACGGCCGAATTTAATGTGGAGTATCCGAGCCTGTAGTCCTGGCCAAAAATTCCACGTAGACCTCGTATAAAACGGGGTCGGGTATCTGTTACCCCGAGACGAGACTCTGCCCTTCAACATACACTCGTCTGGGGATCCTCTCTGCTCGGAGGCAGAGAGTTTGACCAGCACAGATGGAGACGAATCTCCATCTCTAGACATGTGTCTCCTGTGTTTAGACGAAAATTTGGATACCGGTGATCGCTTCAGTTCTAAAATCATTTGAAAATGATAGACTTTCGTCTTAAATCAGATAATAGACCTTTTTTTTTGTTTCTAAGCACGGTATACTTTGCATTCGTCAATAGAACCACGTCTGAAACTCTCCCCTTGATAATAATACCCCACAGAGCGTTGGAATAGAAAATTATATTATGTAGGGGTGTGGTAAGGCTTTCAGACCGCCCTGTAGATTAAGACATAAGAAAAGTGTTTATTCATTTAGTTATTAAACTTTATTAGGACTGAAACTCCAGAAGTCCTCTTCCTCCTCCTCCTCCTCCTCCTCCTCCTCATCATCATCATCATCACTGTCAGACATTCTTTCCGTTAGTTCGTTCAGTTCATCATCAGTTATGGTATGTTCATCACCATCCCCATTCTTTGTCTTTTTCGGTGCTTGAACCAACCAAATCCTCAGACATCACATCGTCTTCAGAGCCATCCATGGTATTGTAGATGACACATTTTTTGAAGGACTTGATAATTAGTTCCTCACGGATAACGTCCCAGGCTTCCTTCATCCATTCTACTACTAAGCTCAATCCGGGTGTTTTTAATGACTGGTCTTTAGTAAATTCTTTTTCACCAGATATCATCCAAGATATATTGGCGTTTCATAATCTCTGTCATCATAAAGCTCAAACGGTTTGAAAAAAAAAAAAGAAAACTAATGAAAAACTTAAAATTATGATTGAGTATTTTGGTAATCTTAAAACAGAATAACTTGAGAAGTTGGTATTGAATTATGATTGGGCCTTGTTTAATTGTGATGGTTGTATTGGCTTATCGTTTAGACGAAATTGTTATTGGTTGTAATTGTGTGGTATTGAATTATCGAGTGTTTAGACGAAATTGTTTGGTTGTATTGGGTATTGACTTATCGAATTGTTTTTGTTGTTGGTTGTATTGAAATTATCGGGCCTGCTGTTTAGACGGGCCTTATCGAGTGCTCTGTTTAGACGAAATTGTTATTGGTTGTAATTGTGTGGTATTGAATTATCGAGTGCGGGCCTGCTCTGTTTAGACGAAATTGTGATTGGTTGTAATTGTGTGGTATTGACTTATCGAGTGCGGGGCTGCTCTGTTTAGACGAAATTGTTATTGGTTGTAATTGTGTGGTATTGAATTATCGAGTGCGGGCCTGCTCTGTTTAGACGAAATTGTTATTGGTTGTAATTGTGTGGTATTGAATTATCGAGTGCGGGCCTGCTCTGTTTAGACGAAATTGTTATTGGTTGTAATTGTGTGGTATTGAATTATCGAGTGCGGGCCTGCTCTGTTTAGACGAAATTGTTATTGGTTGTATTGTGTTGAATTATCGATTGGGCCTGCTCTGTTTAGACGAAATTGTTATTGGTTGAATTTTTATTATCGAATTATCGAGTGCGGGCCTGCTCTGTTTAGACGAAATTGTGATTGGTTGTTATTGTGTGGTATTGACTTATCGAGTGCGGGGCTGCTCTGTTTAGACGAAATTGTTATTGGTTGTAATTGAAATTGTTATTGACTTGGTATTGATTATCGAGTGCGGGCCTGCTCTGTTTAGACAAAATTGTTATTGGTTGTAATTGTTTAGACGAAATTGTGATTGGTTGTTGAATTATCGAGTGCAAAAATCTGTTTAGACGAAATTGTTAGGTTGTAATCTGTGGTATTGAATTTAGAGGCTGCTCTGTTTGAGACGACCATTTTGATCACGGTCATCGCTTCAGTCCTAAAATCACGTGAAAATTATAGTCTTTCATCAAAAATCAGGTAAGAAACCTTTTCTTTGTTCCTGACCACAGTATACTTTGCATTTTTTCATAGAATCACGTCTTCGAATCTTTTCTTCATCTCTGAGGAAATCTGTTCATGTTTTGTCCTCAACGTCTCTCTTCTGCTTCTCGTTCAATTTGCCCCGCTTTCCTCATTAGACGTCCACCTCACAAAAAAAAGTCTCGTTCTGATTGTAACTATATATTTCCTTGTTTTTCATTATTTCTCTAGTTGTTTCGTCCATGATATTATTAGCATTCCTCGACAGAACCGCGTCACTTC